GCCACGGAGGGCTGAACATCTGCTTCTTGATTTTCAGCATGAGCCTCCCAGAGCAATAAACAATAATTCACGGAAGCTCACAACCCGTCTCCAACTTTTAGCGGAAGTAACTGGGCCATGACAGAATCTTAACCTTTGTCACTGGTATGAATCTAAGCCCTGGGGGCAGGGGAACCAAGAGTCAGAGTCATGCTGGGGGCCCACCTCCAGCAGCTGCTCCAGCCCAGCTGCTCCTGTCCAGCCAAAGGGGGTCTGAGCCAACACTGATCATTGCTGGGGTGGCTACTCCAATGGCCCTGGGGCTGATAGCTGCTCCAGCCCTCCCCTGGAAGAAGCCACGGAATCCATGCTCTCCGTGATAGAATTGTAGCCTAGATCTAGAGGCGTAAAGCGCCATATCTCAGTTCCTCACTACATGACTGCCTAGTGTGCAGGAGACTGGACTAGATGGCCTATTGAGGTCCCTTCTAGCCCTACACATCTGGGGTTCTATGGCTGTGTTGCAAGGGGTGTGTGTGTGTGAAGGTGTGGAAGGCTCCAGTCGCCTTGAGGTGCCCTCTCTCCAGCATGGGGCTAGACTGGAATCGATGACTGAGAAGTGACAATCTCCGCATCCCATTCCTGTGCGCCTCCTGCCTTGTTCTTTGAAACCACCCAGAGACTTTTCTTTTCAGAGCTTAGACAGGAAATGTCTCCAAACTCTCCCCCCGCCCGATGACACCCCCATTTTCAGGTCACAGACAAATGAAGGTGGAAATCTCTGGACTTTGAGTGTTCGTGAAAGGACATTTTGGAAGATCTTATCGGGCAGGTTTGCATTTCTTATCGGGGTTTTTCACACGATAAGAGAAGCTCCGAGCGGTGTGTATATAAGACGCGGCCTGCAGGCGTTTCTCTACATTCGACACTCATCGCCACCGGCCTGCGCATCAGAGAACATCATGAAGTGGCTCCTGCTCCTGAGTTTGGTGGCGCTGTCTCAGTGCCGGCTGACAAAGTGAGTACAGGGGGAACACACCACTTTGGGCTGCTGAACTCAGCTTTCTATGCAGCCATGTGGGGAACGTCTGCCCTGGTCTTGTTCTCTTCTCTACTCTCCATTCATGAATGGGCAGCAGCTGGGAATGGCCTCTTAGCTTTGTGCTGTGCCAGAGGAACGAGGAAGGAAGACCTTGTGGTCAAGGCACTGGAGTGGCATTGGAGAGATCTGGGCTAATTCCTGGCTCTGCCACAGACTTCCTGTGTGACCCTGGGCAAGTCACGGAGTCTCACTCTGGGGATCAGGTTTCTGTATGCGAAGTGGAGGTGATAAGATTTGTATTTATTATTCACATAATAATCACAGCATCTAGGAACCGTAAGGCATGGCCCAGAACTGCATTGTGCTAGGCACTGGAAGACGGTCCCTTCCTCAACTAGGTAACAACCTCAGTGTGAGATAAGAGACAACAGATGGGTGTGGTCAGACTGAGAGGGGAGTACAGTGGACAGTGTTCACTGCACACCAGCAGCCAAATCCTTAGGTTTGAAGGATGACAGTGAGGTAGCCTTGTGGTTGTGGGTGAGATGACACAGAGATGCGGGGTAGAAGGAGAATAGAAGGGGACCAAGCGCAGAGCCCTGTGGAACCTGCACAGAAAGTCGGAGGGCTGATTCCCGTAAGAAATCAAAGCAGCAATTACAGCTATAGGAGGTGAGCCACGTGAGAAAAGTCGTGCTAGCAAAGGGAGAACAAAATGTCAAGCAGAAGGGGATGGTCGACGGAGTCGAGGCAGGTGATAACATTTCCTTTCCCCATCTTGTTTATTTCAACTGTCTCTTCCTGTGTTATTAATGCTGGTCCCCAAACGCTGGGCCAGCGATCTGCTAGCACACGTGGGCTGAGATTTCCAAGGACCTAGGGAAATTACGTGCCCAAGTCTCTTTCATTTTTGATGCACTGGGCAGCCAGCTCCCTTATACTCTTTTAATCCTAGGTGTACTAAGAGATGTTGAAGCTGGATTGTAGGGTACGTCCCGACCACAAGGCTTGTCTACTGTCTATCTGTTATTGATCGGTCTCTCTCCCTGCCTTTGCTGATTAGGGTCCACCTGCAGAAGGGGGCTTGCTGGAGGATTTTCTGAAAAAACACCCTTACAACCCGGCCTCTAAGTATTTCCCCAGCTTGGGAGACCAGTTTGCTACTGAGCCCCTGACAAACTACATGGATGTGAGTATGGCAGGGGAGCAGGGCTTGGAGCCTCCTTCTCCCCATCAAAGCTTCCCCTGCCTCCGTCAATGGGTGATCTCTCCCCCCTGCAAAAGGGCCCCTTCCACTCCCCCATCCATGTGCTTCCAACCAAGTTCCCATCTTGCTGCGGCAAAGAGCCTGTGATGGGCCACCCAGCCCCAGCTGTGATGGGATGGCATTAAGAAGAGCATTGGCTAAAACATTAAGCTCCCCTGTGGTCATTGGATGCCAGCAAGTTCTAGAAGCCACACTGGGCAAAGTGATGGCACAGAAACATCATCTCAGGCTGAGTCCTAAAAAGGGCACCCAAGGCCAGATCCTGAGCTGGCGCAGCTATGCCAGTTCTATCCAGGTGACAATCTAAGCACTGGATGGCCATGTTGGGTCCCTCTTTCTCCACTGGGTCTTTGTTCTGCTTTGACAGGCTGAGTACTTTGGAACCATCTCTATCGGTACCCCAGCCCAGGATTTCACTGTTGTTTTCGACACCGGCTCCTCCAACCTGTGGGTGCCCTCTGTGTACTGCTCCAGCCCAGCCTGCAGTAAGTCACCTGCAACGCTTCTTGTCTGGGCATGTCCGCTGGGCGGGTCGACTAAAATCAGAAAGATTTAAATCAACAATGAGGAAACCTTGATTGACATCATCAATTTTAATCTTGCTTTGCGTTTGCATTTTTTGGTTATTTTTCTGAAGGAAGTTGATTCTCAGTGGTTTGTAACCACTATAAACAGATTGATTTGCAACTATATAGAGCTTTTACATTATATTTGGTACTTCCTTTAGCCAATCGGGGGAGAAGGGGAGAACATGATGTCAATACACATTTATTTAAGCAATTAACATAACTTTACATAGATTTATTCAAATTCTTACATTGTTCATTTTTATTGATGTTACAAAATCATGAAGGAAACATTTTTGTTTACTACACAATGATTAAGTATTCATTTGTATCAAACTCAATTTGGATGGAAATTGGAATTCATTTTAAAATGCAAAATCCAGCTTTTTAAAATAAATTAATTATAGCACCTTTTAACGGGCACCCACATGTTATCGAAACATGTTTTGCATTTAAAACTAACTGATATATGAAACAAAGGAAACGTTATCTGGAGTCAGTGAATTGAAACAAATTGTTTCTGATCAGCGGGCCCTTCCAGATTTTAGAACTTGTGGAGCTCATCCTCTCACATTCAGTTTTTATTCAGAGGTTGGAAGAGAGAAACCAGCATTCCCACTTTTTCAGCTTCCAGTTGTTTTCCTGTGTTGGAATGAACTGACCTAGTTAAGAAATGGACATGAAGAAAGTATTCTCTCTGCTTCCTCAGAAGAGCCTTTTGCTGTTGAAAGCTGGCTTTGCCACTTGAAGAAACTCTGTTTCCAGGTGTTGAATTTGTGAAATCATGTTCTGTTGACTTTCTGTAGCACTTTAAAACATACAGGCTGTGTCTACACTGGCCAGTTATTCTGGAAAATCAGCCGCTTTTCTGGAATAACTTGCCAGCTGTCTACACTGTCCGCTTGAATTTCCGGAAAAGCACTGACGATCGAATGTAAAATCATCAGTGCTTTTCAGGAAAAACTATGCTGCTCCCGTTCAGGTAAAAGTCTTTTTCTGGAAAACTGTTCCGGAAAAGGGCCAGGGTAGACAGCAGAGATTTCTTTTCCTCAAAAAAGCCCCGATCGCGAAAATGACGACCGGGGCTTTTTTGCGGAAAAGCTCATCTAGATTGGCACGGATGCTTTTCCGCAAAAAGTGCTTTTCCGGAAAAGCATTCTGCCAATCTAGACGTGCTTTTCTGAAAATGCTTTTAACAGAAAACTTTTCTGTTAAAAGCATTTCCGGAAATTCATGCCAGTGTAGATGTAGCCACAGTGCGTAACAGTACATTTTGTATTTAAATGAATGGTTTTAGTAAGTTTGGGCCTTAGCAAGGGTTGCCATAATTTCAACATTAATTTTCAATAGGTTTATTTTTAAAAACAGAAATACACTGACATTTTAAAAAATCAAAAATTTTAATCATCACTTTTTATCCATCTGGGAAGCCAGAGAACAGCAGGTCTTCCTCCATTGTCCCTGCATGTTATGCACAGTGTCGGAGTCCTGGTCTACACTTATTTCAAAATAACAAGCGGAATGTCCACCCTACCAAGCCTGTTATTTTGAAATAAGGGGCTGGTTATTTCAAAAGAATAACTCCTGCTTTCCTTGGGAAATAAGCTTATTTCAAAATAGTTATTTTGGGAGTTTTTATTTTGAAATATAGGGCACATCTACACAGCAGGGCAAAAATCGAATTAAGATACATAACTTCAGCTATGTAGCGGAAGTCAAAATAGCTTAATTTGATTTTTGGCACTGTCTACACAGGAGGAAGTCGACGGAAGAACACTCTTCCCTCAACTTCCCTTCCTCCTTGTGAAATGAGGATTACAGGAGTCAGGGTAAGAAGTCCTCCAGCTTCACATTATTTAGAAATACTGGCTTGCTGTGTAGACATGCACTGTGTTATTTCAAAATCATTTCCTAGTGTAGACACGCCCGGAGGGAGGAAACAGGCCCTAGTAAGACCTGAAGCTAGAGCTACAAAGGCACTTAGGTGTAGCAATGCAGAGCACTACGGTGTGTGATTCTTAGGCACCTTGTCCCCACTCAGGAATACACAGCTGGAGTAGTGATGCAGGCTCCCCATACAACACATGGGGCGAGTGACAGATGTCAGCCTCTGACTATTTCACTCTCCTGTGCTTGCAGCAAAACACAACCGCTTCAACCCGTCAGCCTCCTCCACCTACCAGGCCACCAGCCAGAACCTCTCCATCCAGTATGGCACCGGCAGCATGACTGGGATCCTGGGCTATGACACCGTCCAGGTGAGTCACGGGAAAGGAGCAAAGCCCCTGGAGCAGCCATGCTGGGAGATTAGGGGTTAGAAGGACAGGATGCAGCTGGGAAGCTAAAGCAGAGTATGGTATGAACGGGGGGAGGCAGATAGAAAAAGGGAAGAGAAGAGGCAATGAAGCACAGTGCAGGGCACAACAGTCTCTGAGAACTCTCCAGGCCATGAGACCTCTCTGGCAGACTTGACAGCTTCTCCCGGGGTTCCGGCTGTGTCTGACTGTCCCCATCCCTTTCCCAAGGTTGGAGGCCTTGTGGACACCAACCAGATCTTTGGCTTGAGTGAAACCGAGCCCGGCTCCACCTTTTACTACGCCCCCATGGATGGGATCCTGGGTCTGGCCTACCCCAGCATTGCCTCCTCCGGAGCCACCCCCGTCTTTGACAACATGATGAGCGAGGGCTTGGTGTCCCAGGACCTCTTCTCCGTCTACCTGAGCGCGTAAGTCAGGGCTGGAAACAGCCCATCTGCGGGAGCGAGATTGATGTTCCTCTAGTGCCTCTCACACTCAGTGATGCTAGCTCCAGAATTCTCCCAAAGCAGCCACCTCTGGGGAGGATCATGGCAGCTATTCCATGCCAGTGATTTACGGTTTTGGGGCAGAAACAAACACTAGGGCATTGGTATTGAACAGGCTCCTGGGTGAAGATGGTAACTGGGCTGAGCACTTTCTAGCCCTTGGCTGAACTATCTGCTCAGAACTGACTCAGAAGGAACAGGAGCACCCAAGTCAATGACATCACTGCTTCAATCATCTGGGCCTGCCCACATGTTGGCCAGGCCCTAACATGCTTAGTTTTTGAGATCTAGGAAGAGAAAGCCCCAAATGATTTCAATGTGGGGGGTGGGAGGAGGTGCTCCTCTTATCCAACCACCCTGTCCTATCTCTGCTACTAGACATGGATACTCCCAGCTCTGACTGTGCCCCAGCCCTGCTCAGCTGGGCTCCTTCCCTAGCAGATGGTGCGTGTGCTATTGTCTCATTAGTTGACCGTTCATGCACCTCCCTTGGCTCGCCTCTCTCCCTTCTACAGAGATGAGCAAAGCGGGAGCTTCGTGATGTTCGGCGGCATCGACACATCTTATTACTCTGGGAACCTCATTTGGATCCCTCTGTCTGCGGAGACTTACTGGCAAATCAACATGGACAGGTATCACCCCCCTTGGCCCTTCCCCATCCTCATGCAAACTTGAAGAGAGAGGTAAATGGGGATGCATATGGGAACCAGGAGAAGCTAAGCTTAGAGTCTAGACAAGAGGCAAGACAAGGAAGCTGGGATCACAAGGAAGGGGTCTCACCAGCAAGGAGGTTAGATGGGTGGTTCTTTACCTTGTTCCTGCTAGGATCCAGAGATGTCCTGTGTCTCCCATTAGGGACAGCATAAGGACAGCTCCTCACCTCTGAATCCCCTTTCCCAGGACCCCTTTCTCTTCTGGCGAGCTCTGTTCAGTACTAAAATAGAGGACAGGGTGGTTGCAAACCTGTGTCCCCTAAGGCTGATCTGTCCTAGTTGCAGAAGGCAGTTGGACAAGGAGCAATGGGCAATAGCCACGGCAGGGGAGCTCTAGGGTGAAACATCAGGGGAAAGGTTTTGGGAGTTGTAGCAAGAATCACTGTGCAGGCCTTTCTCCGGTGTCTCCTGGGCTGTGTGGGAATGAGCTCGGGAGTGTTCCTGGGGACGTGCCCCTGACTGTCTCTCTTCCAGCATCACCATGAATGGACAGACCATCGCTTGCTCCGGTGGCTGCCAGGCTATCATTGACACTGGCACGTCTCTGCTGGCTGGGCCCCCCAGTGACGTCTCCAACATCAACTACTACATCGGCGCCAGCAATGGCGCGGTAAGGGCAGGGAGTGGGGATGGAAGTGTCTAGCGGTGGTGGCTGCCCAGCGATGGGACGCTCTGTCTCTCTCACTGAAGAATCTGGTGCCCCAGAGGCGCCTGACCCTGTGCGGCCTTCTTCCCTGCAGGTCAGCTGCAGCGCCATGAGCAGCCTGCCCGAAATCATCTTCAACATCAACGGGAACGCGTTCCCTGTGCCCGCCAGCGCCTACATCCTCAACGTGAGTGTCCTGCTCAGAAAGCCCCTTGGGGCCTCTTAGCCAGGGCTTGTGCCTGAGGCCATTGCACTGGGTGTGCCGGCAACTCCCCCCACCCAGCCAGCACGAGGCTGCTGGAGCATCCCTGAGATGCAGGTCAGAGTCTGTCCCCACAATGAGCGCAGGGCAGGGAGCTCTTCCCCCACAGGGATCCCGGGGCAGAAACGTTCCAGGGCAAGACAGGCCTGCAGTGAATGTCACCTCCCAGAAGGGCAGCGAGGCAGCCTGTAGAACTGGCCATGGCAGGAGAACATCAGGGCAGGGCCTCACCGGGCTAGGAGAGGCTCAAGTGAGCAACTACCCCAGAGATCACTGCCTTGTGCTGCAAGGCATGGGCCTCAGAATGGAATTTTCCTTCCCTGTGGTAGAAGTTTGTCTCCCTCTGGGGAGGAACAGGCGAGCTTCTTTGCCAGTTGGTAGCTTGGGTCAGGCAGTAGGGAAGCCCAAACCCAGTTGTAATCACAGCAGGATTTCTGGTGGCCCAGGTTAGCTGCTTCCTTGGGAGCCTGGCCAAGAGGCTGGAGAGAGCTTGCTCTGCCTCCCCCAGGATGTGTCATGAACAGAAGTGGCTGGCTCCTAGCTCACCTCCCCCATCGACAGGCTGTGCACCTTAGCCTCCGCCTGGGGCAGCGGGGCTGTTCTGAGGCTCAGCACCACACTGGGAGTTAGGTATCTAAATAGCACCAAGAATTGGAACTCAACTCCTCAATGCCTCTCCCTGCAGACATTAGAGTTATCCTATTGAATCCCTCCCCAGCCTAATGCTACTCAGTGTGAGACCTCTGAGATCACAGCTCCATATGTAACAGGCCCAGGTCTGTGCAGGCCCCACCGGACGCTAAGTCACTGAAGTAGCAGCCCAATAATGACCATGTCCTCTTTTCCCCGGGTGCAGGATTCAAGCTCTTGTTCCTCCAGCTTTGAAAACATTGACCAAGGGCTCTGGATCCTTGGCGACGTCTTCATCCGCCTCTACTACGTTGTCTTCGACCGGGCCAACAACCAGGTGGGCCTGGCTCCCCTGGTGTGAACACGGTGCCATCCCTAGGACACTGCTGTGGAATAGGGGTCCTGGATAATCTCCATTTCTCTAAAGTCCCAACAATGTGCATAGAACTAGTGGCTCTCCCCCCGCAATCTCCCACACACCATCTCTCCTATAATCTTGCCCACAGTAGAATAAAGGAATACAAGAGCACCTGAGTGACTTGTTTCTCTCTGATGGCTTTAAGTCCGGACCCATTCTTTGATATATTTTTTTGAACTTGGCTGCTATGGCCACAGCTACCTGCCTATGAACTGTAGCTGAACCTTTTAACAGCTGTTGTACTCTCTTATCTGTAAGGACCTGGGGTTACCATTTGTCAATTGGGTTTCTGTAGTGTAGTAGTTATCACCTTTGCCCTAACGTGCAAAAAGTCCCTGGCTCAAAACTGGGCAGAAACAGGTGTCTTCTCTTGATGTTGTGAACAAGGTTCAAAAAGAGCCAGATAAATCCATGGAGGCTAGGTCTATCAATGTTTATTAACCATCATGGGTAGGAATAGGCTGTCAGAGGTTGGAAATGGGTGACAAGGGAGGGATCACTTGATTCCCTGTTCTGATCACTCTCTCTGGGGCATTGGCTACTGTCGGCAGATAGGACACTGGGCTGGATGGACCTTTGGTCTGAGCCAGTGTGGCCGTTCTGATGTTCTTATCCCTGATGCTTCCACTACCCATTGTTCTGGAAGCCAGTTATTGCCTTGCAGGGGATAACCTCATGAGAGACCAGAGAGTATCCATAAGAATAAATGGCAATCACTGATCCCAACCTTTACCCCACTGGGAAAGGCAGAGTAAGAGCAAGGCTTTGTGGGAAGCAGCAGAGCAGTGTCAGGGTCTCTGGTGGGAAACAAAGGGTTGCTCTGGGCTGTGGGAGGCCCTATGCTTCCCCTACCTCCCAGGGATGGCTCTGGCTGTGACATCTATGGGAGCTGCTAATTTCAGAATCAGCTCTACTTTTTATTTATTAGGGGAACATCCTTCTTATCCTAAAGTCACTTCAAGATAATTTACTTGTTGGGAACATAACTGAACCTTTTTTTTTGGCAGGGGAGAGGGGGTGTTAAAAAAGCCAGCTTCCTGAATTTTTTTGTAACACCCTATCTAACACTTTAATGTTTTTCTGCTGGAGTGCAAATTAGGATTGCACATAAGAAATCACAGTTTGTTCCATCCCGTGGGAACCCTGGCAAAACACAACTACTTCCCTTGAAAGGTATATGAAAATTTGTAACAGCTGCCCCGGTGTAAACAGATAGCAAAGAAAGCAGTGGCCAGATTCAAAACTGAAAACCACTGGTCCCTTCCTAGAGTGAAGGCTATTACCTTCTAATACCTAACTACTACATGGGCCATCTGGGGTGTCACCTGATTAAGGGGGGGAGGGAATCAACTACCAGTCCCAAGACTTTCTGCCAGTTTTAAGGAACAGTCACCAGAAGGCAGCAGAACCCAGATTTGACTCTTATTACCAAAACCGGTTGGCTTAAAAGCCCATCAATTGTGTGATTCCAGCTGTTCTAACTGGGCAGGGAGCGCGTTGTGACACAAGGAATAGTAACGTTTGCTTCAAAAGCTAATGGCCTGGTTTGGTTTATGAGGCCTTCTACATCGGGAGGTGTAACAACAAACGGCAGGGGAGGAAGTACAATCCAACAGCTTCAGGATGGGCTATGTTGATGGCATGAGACTGAGGCTCCGGATGCTTGGGCTGAATTCCTGGTTGTGCCACCAACACTCTGTGGGACTTTGGGCCTGCTCCTTTCCCTCTTTCTGCCTCAGTTCTCCATCTGGAGAGGAGAATGGGGATTATGAGCCTCCCTTTCTCTGTTCAGTTTGGAATTTCTTCAGAGCAGCTGCTGCCTTTCACTATGTGTAATGTGCAGAGCCTAGCTCCAGGGCACAGATTTTCACTTTCATGTGGCCGAGACCTGAAAAAGGGGTGTGTGGGGGGGGGAGGGAGTTTTGTGCAAAGAACAGGTGAGAGTTGGGGTATGTTTCCTGGTTAAGTTTGAGAGGAAATGCCTCTGAGCCATTTTCAGGAATGATGCGGGTGTTTCAGTAGAATGGGAATGAGACACAGAGACACTTACCTCTTGGGCTATGTCTAGACTACAGGCTTCTTGCGCAGGAAGCTTTTTGCGGAAGAGATCTTCTGCAAAAACTTCTTGTGCAAGAGCACATCCACACTGGAAAAGCACATCGAAAAAGCGATGCGCTTTTGCGCAACAGAGCATCCAGACTGCCTGGACACTATCTCGCAAATACGCTGTGATTGCTGTGGACAGAATGGCCACCAGGGCATCTGTGCTTTTGCCTCTTCCCTCTTCTTGCGCAAAACCCCATCCACACATGCGTTTTTGCACAAAAGCTTTTGTGCAAAAAGGCATTCTTCCTCGTAGAAAGAAGAATACCAGTTGCGCAAAACCCCCTCCGTTCTTTCAATTTACTTGCACAAAAACACACGTGAGGTGTGGACACTCCATGAGTTTTTGCGGACAAATGACTGTGGTGAAGAACTGGTGTCGCTGTGGGAAGTGGGATATGGAGTTTTACATCTCTAGGTCATTGGTATGGCTCTGAGCCCAGGGAGTGGGGACTGGAACTAGGGGCTGTGCAGTATGAATCAGAGCGACTGACTGACTCTCCAGAGCCTGTTACTTCAAAGGTCCTGGGTCCAGCTCAGCCAGTTCTGTAGAGAAAGGCTTTGTCATCTGACAGCTCTTGGCTGCACTATATTGGAGACATACCCTGGCGTCCTCCACTGTTTCCTAGTGGCACATGTCAGGGTGGGGAAGGATAGGTGGGAGCGCTTGCTTTGGGTGTGGGTGGATGGCCGTGATGTGACTGCCCTCAATAGGGCAAATGAAAAGCTGTGGTTGGGAATGACAGGACCCAGGCACTGGGGGACTATGCCAGCCACCCTGGCAGATCATGGCTCTAAGCTCCAGAGTCCTTGCTGCTTACCCCTGACATGTCAGCAATCCCATTTGTGACCAAGTCGGGATTGTATTCCCAGGGCTGGCCTTACTATGAGGCGAACTGAGGTGGCCGACTCAGGTGCCAGACTGTGGGGAGCGCCACTAGGACCCAGAGTGTAGAAAATTGTGGCTGCTGCTGGTGCATATGTAGGTAGCAGAGCAGTGCCATGAGAGGAGTAGAACAGGAAGAAGGCAGAATTGAGACCGTTCAAAGTTTTGGTCCAAGCGAGGGGGTATGGGGGCGTCATTTGAGCTCCCTGTCTCAGGTGCCAAAATGTTGTGGGCCAGCCCTCTGTATTCCCTCTGTTCGCTCTGTGATGTTGCATGTGATTTCTGCTGTCCTATGGTAACCCTGGGTACGTCTAGACTACAGGCTCTTGTCGACAGAGGCTTTGTCGACAAAGCTTCTGTCGACAAAAAGCATCTAGACTACAGCCAGTTCTGTCGACAAAGCAAGCCGCTTCGTCGACATGACAGTGTAGACACAAAGGACAGTGTAGATGCAATAACGCCGTCTGTCGACAGAACTCTCACAAATGGCCAGGTGTTTTCCATTCCTTGTTCCAGGTTTTTCAGCAAAGAGGCAAAGCAAAGCTCAGATTCAAAGAGGGAGGTTTGCTTTGAGACGTCTGATACTGCTGAGACAGTACAGCCACCTCCTAGCTCCCTGAAGCATTAGGGATTAATCCTGCCCTATAGCACCACCTGCTCTCCCAGTCTTGGGTCTCCATGCAGCTCTGCCAATGCCTCTCAAGCTTGCCCTGGTCATTGTAGCCCTGGGTATGAAACATACACACAGTGCTGCCATAGTGTCAAATGCCTGAGACACGAGCCACCCTGATACTCCAGCCCTTGGGCTTCACACTAATTCAGTCAGTTCTTTTGATGCTCCTCAGTTCTGACTTGTAGTTCCCCATGCTAGTCTGTAATTTAGCCTCTTCTACAGCAAGTTGGCTGATTATAATCAATTGTGCTATTCCCGCCGCAGAATTCCATGCAGCTGCAAGAATCTGTGACTGATTTGAGAATTGCAGTGCGCGTAATTCTGAGGTGGCTAAAACTGGACCCTCAATAAGAGACCAAATCGTGATTGGGATGCAAAACAAAAAGCTCAGAGACTACTGGAAGATCTATAATCAACCCTTGACATATCTGTTAGAATATGTCAAAAAATGGAAATCACCTTATCGGGAAGGAAGTTTATGGAGGGTGGACATGGTAAAAAAAAAATCCAAAATGTTGCAAGAAATATAGGCAGAAGGAGATCAGATTTCAGCCAAAAAAGCACACAGTGTGCGTTGGGTGCCAGAGTGTGCTCAGCTCCAAGCCAGTGCCTGGCTGTGAGAAAAAGATGAATGATATGCAGTGGAATCCGCCACTTTGCAAGAGCCATTTAACAAACAAAGCACAGTTTTGCAGTCTCAGACAAAATATGGATTATCATTGGCGCAGCGATGGTTCAGGATGAGCTCCTGTAGAAAGCAGGGCACCGAACAGCCATATTCCCATTCCCTATTGTTCTGAGGGAGCTGTCAGTACCAGATGGGATTTTGTTTAAAGGGACCAGGGTGGTGCTTCATAAGATATGACAGAAAATTAGAATATGAAGGAGAAACAAAGGTCATTAAGGAATTGAAAAATCTAAGAGCTGGGATAGAGATGTTTTAGACAGGACTCAAATGAACAGCACCGTTGAGGAAGCCTAAGACTTGTAGATGCCAAAAATAAGGGCAAGTGAAGCAAAAGGACCAATGATGGTGGGACAGGAAAAATTGGTCCCGTGGAGCAAAGGAGGTGTCCATTTGTTTCCATTCTAGATTATGATTCTTATTTTCCTGAGAAAGCCTAATGGGAAGTGATGCTAGCTAATCAGGTGACTGTGCGTGTCTATTATTGTTCGCTGTGTTATGCCTGGCACAGTAACATCTGACAATGGGCAGCAGATTAATGGGCATGAGCTTATGCAGTATGCAGTGAACTTTGGGTTTAGATATGTAAGTGTAAAATCCCCATTATCCCCAGACCATTGGGTTGGTGGAATATGGTGTGAAAGCAATGAAGTGTCTTCTGAAAAAGCTGTGGAGTCCAATCCTGACTCATGCTTACAGGATAGCACCAGTGAAATGTGAGGTGTCACCTGCAGACATGTGGTTTAAGAGAACACTGAGAA